TCCTGTATTGACGGTGGTCTTCTAGGAAGTCGGCTCACTTTAAAGCTCATTCTGAAGTCACTGTCGGAGCTTCGCTCCCCATCCGCTCGAGAAGCAATTTTATGTATAGATCCCCTCTTTGTGTTGACAGACGCAATCATCGTAGGCCTACTGAAATTCATCCTCCATGTGCGGCCCCGTGACTTGGATAGAGCGTACGAGGCTGGTGACATTCGCCACATCAGTGATGAGAATGCATCATCTTCGCTGATGAACTACACGTTCAACTGCGAAGTTATGGAGGTTCGTGCAACTGCTCTGAAGTGCATTGAGCCCCGTTGGTGTGATCTCAGCTACTCATTGAGGAGGGCGCGTTGATGTGGCTGGTCGGTGTCGAGGAAATACCTTCTGGAACCTCGACAAGTGAAGCGTTACTGTCGACGGTTTCCCACCCCTCAATGGCAAAGGTTCTCGCCAATTCGATAGGACATCCAGACGCGACACACAGTTTGAAAATGTGCATCTGCAAGTGAGCAACCGTGGAATTGTGAAAACGTACAAATAAAAACAGATTTCCCGAATGATTTGCAGTTGAGAGAGACACTGATCACCCATTGAGCTTTTCGACGCATCGATTCTATTGATATTGACTTATAACACTAGCCAGAGCGGTACATTGCAGGAGAGAGTGATCAATACGAGAGGTCATCGATTGTAGCGATATCTTTGTCAGGATGATATCCAGCATGCCCTCGAAAGTGGATGGAAAAGTGATTACCAGCTCTGGGTCGACTTCGCCGGGATCGACTGTAGAGAGACCAGAAGCTGGCGACAAGCCATTGAAGGTAGGAGACATCTGACTGATGCTCGATGCTGACCAGACTCTACGTGGGAGTATGTATGTGTCATCGGTAGACAATGTTGTCATTGCCTTGATACTGATCTGTAGTTACTCACTACTGTTCTAGTCGAGCTCCTTCGGAAGGAGAAATGTGCCTGCCTTATGGCAGAGGTATCGTCTGCCTTGATTGGCATCATGTCTGTTGATAATTCGATGGGAGAGTCTTTGGCGGATGCTGGAGTGGTGAAGCTAGCGGCAAGTCTTCTCGTAGTCAAGGTGAGCGTAGAACTGTTGAGCGTCGGTATTTCTACCCACTTATATAGTTAACTCAATCCAAATATTTGGTTACACTGTTAATACGGAATAGTATCTCTCTCTGTGTCATACGGAGATAATACTCGGAAATACTCTCAAGAGGTTACTCATTGTACCACTGTTAATTTAGCCCAGTCGACTGGTCTGCAGTGGTTATCGCTCCACCGGTGCAACATCATCCGCAACATTACGGTTTATAGTGTTTGCTGCGGAGTGTTGTTTCGGCCTAAAACAACTTCCCGTACCGGGCGAGCGTTCTTCATCTAGAACGACTGGTAGAAATCATAGCAGTATACTGTTCTAGAAATAGGAGTGTAATCATTCGAATGACCTTTTAAAGCGTCATAATTTCAACGGAGTCTTCGTCCGGTCCCGAGCCTCTCGTTGTTCTGCAATTCTCTTACATTGTTTCAGGATGACCGTCTAGTGTTGGCCATCCTAAGGCTCCTGGTGTGCATGGTGGACATGTCACCACAAGCGAAGCCTCCCTGCATATCGTACGATATTCCTCATGAAACAGCAGAGATCATAAGGACCAATTGTGATACCACGTAGGTCACCCCATGCGTCCGCTGTTGATTCCGTGATCGCCACAGGAGCAAGTATGCAGTGGTTGGGTATGCGTGCCGGCTTCTAGCGGGGCTCTGTGCTGACGAGGCAACTCGATCGAAATTGATTGCAAGGTTGGTTGCCGTTCTCTGTGCAATAGAGAACGTCACTTTCCTCTCAAAGGTCGCCCTGCATCATAGATCACGTTCTACGAGCATTCCGCAACGCTCCGCCCCGAAGCCCTGCTCAAGCAATGTGCCTCCGGGCGCTCGATCGGCTCGGTCGAGGACTCGCGGGAGAGAAGTTGGTCAGCGTTCGCGACGCTGTGACTGGAACTCTCATAAGAGATCTTGGAGGACTCTTCACCAGTCTCAGTGAGTTGCATTCTCCACGGAGGTCTCTAACGAAAGGGATCACATCTCACTATACAACTCAATCGACCCCCTCCTTGTTCAATTCAATATGAGCATAAGTGGACTATAGCAGCTGTGGCACCACTGTGAGGCTCACACTCTTGATCATATGTTGCGAAAAAGCCTTACTTTACGGACCATGTGAAGCTAAATACTCCTGGACGTTAGTGCCCTCGGCGAAGAAGCGCTCTATGGTGTCCCCGTCATCATTCCTTCCAGTTACTGCCACCGATTCTGGATCTGCTCCCATCTGCAGAGACATCAATGAATACATCCTAAGCTCTCTATCACTTTTTGAGATGCTGGTTGGAGAGGCCATGGAGGCTAACTGTGCCTTTTTCAAGGAGAAAGGCTTGCTTCATGTTCTGGTATGTCAATTTCGAACTCAGAATGTCGCACATTTCGCCGACTTACTGATATCTTGGTTTTACAGGGTAATCATTTTACTAGTGGTCAATTCCAAAACGGCGAACCGTCCTGGAGCAGATGAAGAAGTGTGTGCCTGTCTCAGTCGTCGATGCGGTCGAGATTGCCGGAGGAATCGACTGATTTGCGAAGTAAAATCGCAGCATTGGACGAGCGTATCAAAGAAGGCGCTTCTGAAGGCCTTGCAGCCTCTGGCCTCTTGATGGACGCCTGAGCGCTTCAGTTCTCACATTTCTGTGCTACATTGTCGTCGACTGAATCGGAGTGTATTATGTTTCCCTTTGAGGGGGGTTCCACGGTGAGAGGTCTACCAAGTACTCTATAGGAGCCATGATGCTAGAAATTCGCCACGTTTCGACATGTGAGTTCAGAGGCTACCACAGTACTAGGCAATTATCGAATCGCAGCAAACCTTTGCATCTCCTTAATGTTGGCGTCTGTAATAGACTATGGTCCTCTCTTGCGGGAGACAGTGTCGCTATTGACAACTTCGATCCGAATAGACAGACCGTTGATGGTTATCTAGACGACTATTGTGAAGAAGTGAAACACGCGAAGAATGAAGTACGCACTGTTACCGCATCGACATTCCTCGAGATTTCGATATCGTATGTTGGACATTGAATTCCAAGATCACCAAGTAGTGCTGCTCACGTGAACTTACCATTAGCTTGACGAGAATGACCCTATGTGCTAGACGAGGTCAGGTGGTCGCAATACTGGTTAGTAGGTAGAAGAGAAGTTCATCCGTCAGTGCGTCTATGGATGTGTGAGGTATCAGAAGTTCCTGAAGGTAGCGTACTGAAGCCCACAATGCTCGACCTGATATTAGCACAGATCTTCGTAACTGCTTTCCTAGAGTTCAAACCAGGTGTGACACAACGGAGAGACCAAACTCTGTATATGGTCCGATCTCGACTATGCTGAAGATCGTGTTATAGCCTCTAGCCAGGTCCTTGCTTACCTCATATTCCTACGATTGGAAGAATTGACGGTATCTAGGCTCGGAAGGTGATCCCCCGGGAATTCACGTTACACGCTGAAAGTGACGAGAGCATGGAGCATTTACGATCTCCACTACAATCACAGAAACTAGAATTTTCCACGTGGTTAATTTCAATCCATCGTAAAGGACGATGATCATAGATTTGATTCGGCCCCGTCAAGGTTCATCGATACGTGCTCCCCTCCGACGATGCTAGCGTTGTTGGAGTTTGCATTTGATCGCTCAGCTGTAGAGTCCTGGGTCTACACTGAATGGGCGAAAATCTACGATGAGAGGTGAGAGCTTGGCATACCATCCTGCAGTGGATGAGCATTTCTCCAAGGTTCATCGAAGAGTCTGTCCTCAAACCTATTGAAAATCTCAGACAAGGTGAGAACTTCTTGTTGGGTAAATCCCACTGATCATCCGTATTTTGCCTCGTGCTGTTGATGGAGCTACCCTTTCCAGATTGTGACACGTTGCTCAACTCGGTATCTAGGAAGGCTACCGGTACGGATGCCAAGGCTGACCAAAGCCTCACACCAGCTGAACCAAAACTAAAGTACGGCAATCCGTTTTCTCCGTCTTAACGTATGCGTGTTGTAGAGCTCATTCACTCACTGTTGGTGAGTCTCTTGAGCAGCGTTGGAATATAAGTTCACTTTCCTCAGCTGAGTCCATGGGGTTTCCTCACTTATTATGCAAGATTATTTGCAAATTAGGGCGAAAGTCTACAGAAACCAATGAGAGTTTCGCTGAGGTTCCTCATAATTTCCGTTTTATCACCAACACGTGTAGTTCACCTGGGCACATGGTCAACTTGACCATGTGCGTATCCTCTCATTCTGTTCTCTAGAGAGGACTAAGTAAGTGAACAGCTCGGCTAGTCAGAGGTTCAGGCACACCATACCATCCCCGTTCCAACTCACCGAGCCTAAGCCTCGGGAGCTCCCTGTTCCACGAGAGACGATCAAACCAGTGAGTAATTTGATCACATCAGTTGCATTGGAAGCGAGCTGTGACTGATTCAGTCTAGCAATGTGGCTTCTGGATGCTCAGGTCACGCACAAACCTATTCCAAAGAGTCTCAATGAGAATTCTCTACAAAAGATAAAGGTGGGCATGGGCATGGGCTGTGAAGCCCGGAGTCACAGAGTCACCACAGTTTTATGGCGAATATAAATTAGTAGCGGGGTTTGAACCCGCTGCGTTCAACTCACAAGGTACGCGTCATAACCATTAGGCTGTTTAGACATAGGACTTGATATTGAGTGGAGAGACAGTTCAATATTGACTCAATAGCAGCCACAACCATGTGCGGCAGTGCCACATATGGTTGGGTCTGCTCATTCTATGTCGAGTGTCTGTTGCGACAGGGTTCTTCATAGCGGGTCTTTTGATTGTTCCCTGCTCCTGTACCTTGACGAGATCATGTCCCCTCTTGTGAGCAATGTAATGTTCATGTAGGAACAAGACGAGGCACGTCTGCTGATGATGAAGGAGAGGACGCTGTCTAAATATGCCGACGAGGCAGCGGTGCCGACCTTGGCGACTGCTAGTCGTGCTGCGGACATAGACAGCTTAAGGAAGGTGAGTAATGAATACGAGTAGTGGTACCAACACTTCGGCATGTAGGATCCCGTTGATCATGTTCTTAGGAGATCGATAACGAGCGACTGGCCGAGTGCACCTTCCAACCGAACCCTGCTAAACCTGTTCCGAAAATACTGCCAGAGGCTGAGGTCAAGGCTACTAGTGCAAGCCTACTCAGGTCAGTAGCAAGGACCAGGT